AATCATATCGTTAAATGCCTGACCTATTCGAAAAATGAGTCAATGACTTAAGTTTTCGGTCTTAACTTTAAGACTACATTTCCCATGACTTAAGTTTTTTTGTGATACGGCAAAACTTAAGTTAGTGGCAGAGACTTAAGTTCAAATTTTGACCTAAGTCAGTTTTGTGATACGACCCCCTGAGTCATTCTTATTCTAGGTCGCGGACCTTAGATGACTCTCGCTTTTCGTGGATAAAATAAATTAAAGTAATAACTATGTGGAGAATTGAATTATCTATTTATTGTTTTACGATGTTTTTTCTTCGGGAACATGGTGCAAAAACATGAAATATGTAACTCATGACCCTGCACAATCAGCGGTGACGATAAGATCAAAACATCAGGTCGAACTAAAGAATTTCATCAAGTACTACCTATCCTGAAAAAATCGCGGTTCCATCTCTTCTCGTTCACGAGAAAAACGAAATGTACGTTTTTCATGCGCATAACGTCTCGAACTTTTACTCCAGTAGAAAAAAATTTCATATCTACAGAACGTGGTCGTGTTGTTTCAAACTAGAGAAAAGAAAATTTTATGACACAACTAATCTTTTATTGAAAACTTTATTATGCCATACTTACTAGTTCTCCCATTTCTTGAGCCGTTTCAGAATTGAATATATCACATCACACTCAGATTTGCAACGCATCGTTAGATTGTTTCGGATGACAGACGTATTCCTTCTGTGTAGCTCCATCAAATAAACCAGCTCGAAAGCGCATGACAAAACTGATACCACTGCCTAAATCAGCTTTTGGGTCACGTTCTTGCTGTACATCCAATCAGAAAAGCAACTACGAGATTTAATTTGACAAGTCGAAATCGCAACAGCTAAACTTTGTATTTAGAAGAGAAACAAACGTAACGACAGATTTTTACTTAAGTTCCCTGTCGTACAAAAAAAAAATTACTGTACATATAACACTGAAGTTAACAAAAAACGTAATTACAACGCAATTTCTTTAAATACTTCATTCAATGACATTTTTAATGACGGAAATAAAATTGATTGTACAGTTTCATTAGCAGTATAGTTAAGAATTTTATAGAAACCATCAGATTCTAGAATATGCTGACAAATAAACGAGTTTTTATGATCAATCAACCAATATTCGGTAGCTTCATTGAATTGATAAAGAATTAACTTTCTGTTCATCTCGTCTGATGAATTTCCAGGTGACACAATCTCAATTATGAAGGATGGGCCACCGTATACCAGTCCATTCATTAACTGAGTCAGATCACATAATATAAATAATTCTGGCTCAACCAGTCTATCTAGTAGTAGAGGACTTTTTCCAGGCATGCTTAAAACAATTCCGGTAGGTGGATGAAATACTTAATAATACCTTTTTCCTGTTCCATGACCATCTCCATATGTCGGACGTCCATTATGTTTTACAGCAAACCATAAACGCACCATTAAAACTGTTGGTGTCTGACTGACACATAATCTAATTCCCTTATGTACCCATTGTACATTTCAAACCGTTCTTTTATATTCCATTTCCGAACATCATCAACGGTATATTGCTTTGTTAAATCCACTTGCGATAACGATGTAACCTGTCCGACACCTGGTACTCCTTTGATTTTATCAGCTCGTTTATGAATTTGTTTTATCCGAAATATTCTTGACATTATTAATGGTGACCATAAATTTAAAGATTTCATCATCCTTGCGAGATCTGAAAACTATTTAAAACAATTGATAATTAATCTGATAGTAATAATCAGACGCATTCTCACGTACTAAAGCATGTATTTTCCTATAGCTCTCCATGTATCCTCTTATAAATGATATCTAAAACTGGCAGCAGGGAAAATGATGTGTTTACCCCACTCGCATCGTTAGATCTATCAGAAAACACATTTTGATAAGGTAGATTCGATTATATAAAATCTTTTCAACGCAATGACCATGTGAAAAGTAAGATATGAGCTGAAATTGTCACATCTACTTCTTCCAAATTTCTCGCTGTGCCAAGCACAAAATCAGATGAAATGTGCTAGCCAATGTTGGGTTCAAAAGGTAATCTACTATACACAACAAGAAAACAAAATCAATAAACAAACAATATCGTACAGGCCCAGTATATCCGAGAAAACAAAGTACACCGAGTTTTATAGAAACATCCACTAAATCTAACCAAAGGATGTGTTCTTTTTTTTCAAGATTAGAAGTAAGCATTCATTCATACTTCATGGCATTAAGTGTCATCAAGCAAGATCTACACCACCCACAATATACCTTACATTCACCAGATAGAAAAACCTGACTAGCGAACTAAACGTTCGATAGACATTTGTTTGCTTCTCTCTCTGCCGATGAAGATAAGTTATCGATAAAATGCAGTATGAAAATTAGAAGACCCCTTAAACTTTCAAAATGTACGAGTGGAAACTCATACTTGAAATGAATGATGAAACTTTGTAAGTATCTAGACGTAATCGAGTAAGAAAAATCAATATTTGGATTTTTCAAGGATCAATATTTCAAACCGAGTGATTTTCAAAGTAGAGGTTCACGCATTCGAAACATGTCGGGTGCTTTTGCTGTTTATTATTATTAGTGTCGAAGAACAGGTAAAGTCACAGGAATAGCAACTTATTATTTATTGTTCAATCCTTTCTTTTCTCTTTTTAGCTCTTAGTCAATGTACGTGATGTTTTACTAATTTGTGTTTATGTATTCAATTCATAAGCAACCCGTAGTTATTTTACTCCGATACCTTTACCTTCTGCGTGATACAAGTATATGGATAGAAAATAGAAAGAGAGTAATGAAGAAATCCATTCTTTCTTCCAGTTAAAAAGACTTTTGTTAGCATTCTTTTGTGACAGAGACTATTTGGCTCGCATAAAAGTAGAGATCTGCGTGGGCACAGGAATTTCCGGACAAAAACCACGAACGGACATGAACAGACAACCTCTGTTTTCTAGCCACTGATATTTACATACATTCAATAGTTTTCTGATGTGGCAACAATTCTGTTGACTTGTTGTACCATCACAATCATGTAACTGCCTAATTGGCATGAAAGTATATTCGTGTAAACATTCTGTTGCATTAGCAATTTTATTTAACTTGTATCAAGCATTTTAGACATCTTATGTAAACTTTATTCCATTCAAATATAAAAGGCATCATACATGATACTGTCGTCTAAAAAGAGCATAAGTGAATGTATCACAACTCTCTTTTTTACGATGACTATTTTACAACATTCTGTCGCTCATGAGACAATTTGATAAGTTTAACGTTAATTTTGAATTGTTTTCTTTTTGATGACCAATATTCGTCGTAATAAAACGATGATTGTAGCAAATACGAACATTCGGTGGTATAAGGTGCCATTATGCTTAGATCAAATCGCTTCAGATCCATCAGAGATGTTGATATTAGCGTCTTCCACTTCTGACCATCAATATATTGGTTGTCTCCTTGAGGCATCGATCGAGCAACGATCGATAAGGCGCGTAAGTTTGGCATTGAGTGTAGCAGCTGTGCAACATTATCGAATGATACAGAAGGATTTATTAATTCGACATTAACCATTTTGATACGAGGAATGGGAATGGGGTCGTATTTAGTATACCATAGATTCGTGGCTTTCAAGGATCGAACATCCGGAAGATGTGATAAAATTCGACACAAATCACCCAGATGGCACGGATCCATATGTAAAACTCGAATAGAAAGACCAACATTAATGAACTTTGTTACCCCCAAATCACCAGTGATCGTATGTAGTTTCAGCGAAACGAGTTGTTTCGCCCCGAGATTTCCAATAATAACATTCGAATAAAATGAAACGCTTCTCTCGTCCTCTCTCAAAAGAAGATGACGAAGTGATTTCTTGTCTCGACTGATAATGGATGTGTCTGAAGACAATTTGAGACGATTATCAGTAATTATTTGATTGAAGCGAAGATTAAGCTTGAAGAACGCTTTGTAGAGGTGATAAACATCGAGTTGTTCGAATACTAGCATCACCACATCATCGGATAAATCTTCCAGAACCGACGTTGCTTTGTTCTAAATAAAAGCATCATCAAGTTCTTTGAAACTGTTTCATATACTTCTCACCGATCGTGGTTTGAATAATACAGCGAGCCGACTTAACATATTGCAGTATTTACAAAATAGCTCACAAAATTTGTGAGAGAAACGCAAGTATGTGACAAAATTTCATGAGTCATTGTAAAAACAAGCGATACTGGTGTGAGTTTTATCTTTATATAGACTATTAATCATTTGAGATGTTTACTGCAGGTAGCATGAAACTCTGGTGAGTAAGCTGCTTGTAACTGCGTTGTTGGTAAATAACGGGTTATGCAAGGCATTTTTCTTTTTCAAATAGTACGGAGAAGAAAATAAAGGAAATCCGTTTTGTATAATCCGTTATTTCGTTACCCTTGCTGAGTAATATATATTGCTCATACAAGTCGGTAATGCTGTGATATATAAACCTGATCTGCTCTTTACTTGACCAATAACTTTCTTCATCTACAGAGTTGGTTCTGTCATAGCACTAACTGAACGTGAGGGAGTGCGTTTTTCAAGTACATAGACTGTACTTCTCTTTTTTCTTTACTGTTTACAAACTGCATGATTCAATTTGTTCATACTCCATTTCCAGCGGGTTTTTATCTTAACCTTGGCTCGGATAGAAACGCTTGCAGTGGAATTTTTCCAGGTTGGCAGTAAGTTTTTCAAAGCGAGAGAATGGAGATCCTTCCTCTCCCTAATCATCCCCAAATCTAATGAAGACGTCTTCGATGTTGAAATGTTACAAACTTTGTTAAATAGAATAATTTAAAACAGTGTATTTAAGAAGTTGTTTGCTGATCGTATGTACGTATGTTATTGTAAAGTTAGTTTGATTATAAAATGAACAGACAGAATACCATTATTGGATTTATACTGGATTGAACAGGCTCAGGTTTGTTCACTATCGGTAACTTTGAGAAAATTCGCAGGTTTTGCAACGTTGTGGAAAGCGAATGGCGAAAATTTCGTAGAAATTTTGGTTTCAGATCTTAAACCTCTTAAACTCTTCTTCTGATGTTGGCTATTACATGGACATATGGTAATTGTCTGAAATTAGGTCCATACTGTCATCCCACCTTGTTATTCTAAATACAGTCCTTAGTTGGAGTGCAAAAGTGCAGTTATTGATTTGTTTATAGAACAGACAATATGAAAAAATGTAAAAATTTTTTAACCTTTCTACGAAACTCCTTTTTTGCATAGACATTAATGCACTATGTAAGTGCATTTTTCCACTGTCGAACATAGCATAGGATAAGCACATTATTCTATGTTCGAAAGAAACATAGTGATGGCTGTGAACTTATTCTGTATTCTGCCCAGCTGACGATTTAAAACTACTATAATTAGAGAGGATCCTTTTCCATTTCTTACACTGATTTGAAGCACACAAATTGTACTATATGTATTAACATATTTTCCAGAAAGAGGTGCCTTTTAGGTATTAAGATATAGAGCTGTTATATTACAGATTAAAATTAGTGAAACCCCTAGACATCTATTCTTATATAAGAACCGTATCAGAAACGTCCAAATCTCTTAAACGTGACTTACAAGATTCTTATCGGAATCTTATCAATCTCTTATATAAGATTGTTTAAGATTTCCCATCGACAGTCGTAAGTGTCTTACAAGAATCTTATAAGATTTTCATAAGAGGTTGGTGAAGAAATTCATAAGAAGTGCCAAAAATTCTTATGAAGTTTTCCGGCTAATAGAAGCAACTTAATCATAACAGAAATCAGAAAAACCAACTCATAAGCTGCCTTCTAGTAAATAAGAATAGCATAAGAAGTTTTGGTACCTCTTATGAATTTCTTACGAAGCTCTTATGGAAATCTTATAAGATTCTTATAAGACACTTACGACTGTCGATGGGAAATCCTAAACAATCGTATATAAGAAACCGATAAGATTCCGATCAGAATCTTATCAGCTTTAACCAAAACAAAATTTGCGCGGGAAGTATAGATTTCCCTTTAATTTTAGAAATCGCACGAATTTGGAATGACCAACATAACTTTCCTGATCAATTTTCGGAATATTATAGTCAGAGGAGCTCAAGTTCAATATTTATTTTTTCCAGTGAAATCGCTAAAATTAAATTAAAACCCATCCATTTTACTAACTTTAATCTATGATATTGACAGCTCTATTTCTTGAAAACTAAAAGGCATCTTTTTCTGGAAAACATATCAATATATAGTACAATTTGTATACGTCAAATTAGTGTAAGAAGTAGAAAAGGATCCTCTCCAATCATTCTGGTTTGAATTAGTGAAGTGGGCAGAATACAGAAATCATTTACACCGAGGGCACATCCGGTAATTTTGTCTTTTCCTTATTTTGTTGGTTAAAGAGAAAACATGTTATGTGCTCATATACAAAAAAAGAATCAGAATTAAGAATTGTAGGATCAAAGAGAATAAAATAAAACGGCACCTCTCTTGTTTAAAGTCACACAAACATGGTTTTCTTCCATAAATATTTAAAATAAAAGTTATTTTCTTTTCTGTTAATTTATCCGTATATAGTAGTGTTTATATCCAGAGCCCAAAAGTAGGTTGAACCGCCCGATCCTAGGTTAAACTTTTTAATCTAGCTTAACCGGGTCGAAAACCGTGTTATCTAGCTCCAACCGCCTGATTCTAGCTCCATCGCCAAAATGTTAAAAAGAAAAATATTAAACGCCTAATATTAAAAATCAAGTTAATATTTTTGTGCATTATTTAAATATTTTTTCTATCTGGGCTAATAAATCTTTTTCTTGCTGTAAAATAGAAACATAATTAACTATATTTAAAAAATAATATATTAAACCTGCCAATGATGTTAATACTAAATTGATTTTTAATATTACTCGTTTAATATTTTTCTTTTAACATTAGTCTATAGACCCTGTCCAACACTATCAAATTATAACTGACTCGACGCAAATTTCGTAGAAATTTCGGTGTTAGATCTTAAACCTCTTAAACTCTTCCCCTGGGTGCAATTCATTCATTTGAGTTATTTACAAAGTCTTACTATAGAGAACCAATCCAGATGTCATTCGACAGCATACGCTCTATCAGAGAGACCTTGAACCATCTGAAAAGTGGGGGAGGAGGAGGGGAGGGGTTCAAATTAATGTTATATGCACATAATATTAGATCGAATCACGCCCGTCGTGGCATGCCTCAGTGAAGAGTAGTACAGTAAGCTGATAATAGCAGTCGGTCATTGTCATTTGTTGTTGATGTGATAAACGATGTCGAAGAACATGTGAACGCTTGTTGTCCGTGCGGACCCCAAGTTGATAAAACAAGTTTAAAAGCCACTTTTAAGACACGGAACATTTTTAATAATATATTCGGATTCAGCCTCGAATGATGAATATTTTCAAAAAAAATCAAGCATTCAGGAATGGGCAATTGAAAAATCTATTGGGCAGTAATTTTTAAAAACTTATTGACATTATAAAAGTCGATGGTTACGGAAGAGAAGTTCGTCAACCTCAACTGACAGAACAGGTTGCTCGCTCTCTTCGTGCTATTTCATAAATTTACTTTTCAACTTTCAAATACTAGGTTATTTTATTCTAGCGTTGCTCATTCGGCCGCACCATCAATGATTTTTTTCATTTATCAGACGGCTGTCACGATTATTATTATTGCTAAGAAGTGATGACGACGATGAGTGTTAGCCTATCTTTTCAATCGAATCAGACAAACGTCATATTGTCTTTTTTCGTCGGACAATGACAAACATCACTTGCTTTCTTTCATCAAAGAATAATGCACATGAGCGTTAGTTTGTCCTATTTTGTCATACAATGACAAGTGCTACTCTACACTTACCACTAGATATCAGACCTGAGACTTTTTTTCTATATGATTCTGTTGTTCAATTGTCTATCCTCTAAATTTCATATTATCATTTCGTTGTCACTAATCGCAATTCCTTGCTTGTATTTTCAAAGCACTTTCATTTAAATTTTCTGTTTAGTTTGTTTCAGTTTTTGATTCTTACATTGCGAGAATCATGTTACAACTTACATTGTCAAACGTTACGGCTTAAACTACTTCAGCCATTTCCATTCAATAGGCTTTCTGTGTTTAGAAAGAGGGCTAAGTATTCATTAGCGAATTTATGTGTAATACCGAGTATTTTAACGAAAGGGTATCTTTGAGTCGTCATGATTAAGATCATTGGTTAAATAGAAAAGACTGTCGATTGATTTTTCTGAAACAACTGATTAGATCTCATCTTGAGATAGTTCATTAAAATCACATCATTTCAGCCATCAAACGTACACGAGTATCAAAATTTTTTCACAGTGGGCAATTGCCATTATCTCAAAAAAACTGGTGGGCAATAAATTTTGGACTGGTGGCCAATTGCCTAACTGCTCACTACCTGGATACGCCACTGATTCAGCGTAAAATTTGGTTTTTTTAGTTTTAATTTGAAAAATTCAATTCATTCAAATTTTCAATGTAAAAATTTGAAAAAAATAAAAATACTCAGATAGGGTAGAGATACACATCAGTCAACTTAGTTTTTGATTCTGGTTCTGAATATGGTATTTTTATTGCTCAAAAGTTGAGTTATGATAGAGAAAATTGAGACTTACGGGCAGAATTCTAAGCTTTTCGCCCTGGTTTAGAAAAAATCTAGAGAAAGCCAGAATCACGTGATACGGAAACATTGTAAACCTCTGCATTTACGAAAATAAGTGATCTTCAACGCATGGCGGAAATTATTGATACAAACGGCGGTTTTCTTTTATTATTTTCGACTCCCGGAAAAAATAAAAGTCCCATAGGACTCCCGGTCAACTCTCGTGCAAAACGGGAATCCCGCAGGAATCCCACCGTATTATGCATTTTTCAAGAAGTCCCGCGGGATTTCTACCGGGATTATCGACAAGGGAACACCTTCCTCAATACAGAAAGAAGTAATACCAGTCTATATTTATCAACTAATGCTTTAGAACCTTTTTATGCTCTGTAATAACTTCAGCGTGCCGCCAGTTTATTGAAAGAACGCCTTGTGTAATAGAGAGAGAAAATACATGTTCAGTCCTATCTACG